TCATAACGTAAGGTGGGATATATGAATATATCTCAGTAATCCAAGGTACTGGAGGATCACTCCGCCCAATGGCTCACTCAGATGTAAAATAACAACAATGAAACTATACATATATCATACAAAATCATACAGTCCAATGGCCTACGGCATATGGCATATCATCGGGCTCTCATCCAAGAATGTATCCCTGGATATCATTCAAGGCACCCGCAACTAAAACTCCCGAGACATTTCTAGAGTGCTCCTCAACGGATCACAATCTTATGGCCCTAGGCCAACTGGAACTCCCTACGAAGGCCTCTCCAGTGGAAGTCTCCTGCGGCATATGACAACTATCTATTGTCTATAGATACGGTACAACTCACATGTACCCATTCAACAAACATATGCATGATCATGTTATATCTTACACTATTGCATCAAACAACTTCCAACCATTACTCCAATGGGCATGGTGGAGTACACACAGGGATTAAGCCCAATACCAAGAGATTATCTTTTTGAAGCTCCCAAGCTAGGTTACTTCAATCACAAGTTACCTCAACTTTCTTCAACAAAGAAATGCCAATATCCTTTTGGTCAAGGACCAAAGGCAATCCACAAGCTCCAAGCTTCAATCTTCTAGGATTTCGTCCGTGGGAGGCAAACTACAACGATCACAACACATGATCATTAATCCACTTGTTTAACAAGTCATAATTCAAACAATGCATCACTCCCCCCATAGGTTTATAATTAGGCCATTATTGCCTTATTACACAATTCAAATTGTTAATTTCATTTCATTATTCATATGGTTTCCTTAGCCAACCACAATACCATATCAATCCCACAATTGCATCAATCATAACTTAGCACAATTTTTTCTCCAAAGAACTCAATATGGCCGAATTTTAGGCATCTTTGTGGTTAGAGAATGTTCTTGTTTTTTTGAAGGTTCAAGGTACTCATTTAGGTACACACTAATTCACTCAAGCACCTACTAACACCATTCATCAAGTCAAACATCCAATGGCACAATCTTTCCCTATTTTTCCCTACATGGCCGATCACATGCTCATCACAAGCCCAGAGATTTTTCTCTCAAACCACATGCACCACACACTCACACAATCCATTTATACTTGTTTCAAATCCTTAACAAACTCAATTACACAATTTTGCACACTCAAGTCCACTTTTCCCCTAAGTGGCCGAATATGCACTCAAGGGATACCAAATGATTTTCAATTGATTTTTACACAAACAATGCACCACACGTCATGTAATTAACTACTCTCACTAATCCATAACTCAATTTCACAATCATCCAACAATCCAATTCCTCAAAATCATGCTCATCCATCCAAAAATTCACTAAGTTACTAAACTTTTTCACAATAAATTTTATGAACTCAATCACTCGATTTCATCATTCTAAGCAACATTTATCTAATGCAAAAAGTCATTTTGAGGTCTCCAACTACCCAAACTCACCAACTATGTAGCACCGATACCGACACGGAACACGTGACACGATACGACACGATACTCCGACACGTTAATTCTAAAAAATGGTATATTTCAACACGTTAGGACACGTTTTGATATTAAATAATATTTTTAATTTATGTAGTGTATATTGTATTTAATATTCAATAATTTAACAAAAAAATGAATCTAAACTTATAATATTCATAAATTTTGTAAAGAAACATAAGATATCCCAAATATTTATGTTAAACTCAGTAAAATGGTAATCATAATCCAACGAATCTAATAGTTGAAACTAAAAAATCAACGCAACGCAACATTTGAACCTTCTTTTGAATTTCTATAACGCGTGTTGAAGTGTCGGGGAGTGTCGGAGTGTCCGAAAGTGTCGGGAAGTGTCGGACACGATACGTCAGTATTTTTGAAGTGACGGTGCTTCATAGCTCACCAACACATATTCAAATTTCATACCCATTTTCAAATCATCAACAAAACTCAATGGGATTGAGAATACTTACCACAAATGGACTCATAAGCCTCCAAGGAGTGATATTCAAGCACCAATACAACTCAAACTTCCATCAATGACCCCAAAAGCTTCAAAATTTGTCACCTTTTTGGCCGATGATCTCTCTCCACAATTATCCCCACTCAAAAATAAGGGTAGCAATGTGTTCCTCTCAAGATTTTACACGAGTTTGGCTTTGGAATGACTTAAATTTGTTCCCTAGAACTCAAGTTATGTTGGTTTGAAGTTTTCAAGCTTTCTTTTTCCCCATCCAAGGAGGGAGCTCGGTTTTGGCAATGAGAGGGGCTGAAGATAATGCTTCAAATGTGTTTTTACATGTGCTTAATTAGTCACTTAAGTGGGGTGGGTCCCACATATGAATTTACCAATTTACCCTCACTTAAACTAGTTATTCAACACACTAATCTCCACTTAATCCATAAATCATCCATATCATCAAAATTTTAACATTCATCAAATTTCTTTAATTACCCTTGAATATATGAATCCGGAGTTTTTCAGTAATTCGTTGAAATTACTGTTTTACCCCTAGTGGTGCACTGTTTATACGTTTCCCCAAAAACCCTAAATTCCATCGATTTTCATTAATAATCATATTTCTTGGTCCTAAGTACCTTTTTCAACATATTTTCAAACCTAGAGCACTAATTTTACTTAGCACATTTTTTTATGCAACTGTACCGCTGTATTTTCATCTGATAAAAACACTATTCATCAAATTTCTATAAACTTTCCTAACCATTCAATTTTTCGTTTTGAATCCATTTCCAGGATTACTTTTCTCATTTGAGACCTTATACTATCATTTTACTGTTTAGGGTTACATATTTGCTAAATTACTGTTTTACCCTTTTTACGTATTTTGACCCAGAACACGGGATTTTCACTAATCCTACCCTTTAATCCTTATCTTAACTATAATTATGTGTTTCAAATCTAGAGGTGTTATTTAAAGCTTATGGCATCTAGATTAAGATGGTAAAGTATCATAATTTTATAAGAACATTTTAAGTAAAGTGGTTTAAAGAATTGGATAAAATCACCTAAGTAAATTGGTGAATTAACATATAAGTGTTAATTTTTGAATTGCAAGTGACACTTATTCAGTAATTGGTAGTGTTTCATTTGTGATATTAGATTGGGTTCAGGAGCAAAATAATGGGGAATCGAGTTTCTTGTGAGTAAAGCTTCGCATGTAAGCTCTTTGTTTTAAAGAGTTTTCTTCTGACTTATTGTTCTACCAGAATTCGGTGGAATGATGGTTACTGTCTGTATTATTAACGTGGTTGGACATTGGCATAGTGGTATACATATGGTAAATAAAAATGTGGTGTATGAGAAATGCTGATATATAATTTAAATAATGAGTTTAACGTTGACGTATCTGTTAAATGACTGACGTTTCTATTAATATGTCAAATGATTCATATGTATGTGGGTATGTGAAATGATTGAGACTTATCACTCATACTAACAATCTTGTTGTCGTTGGATGTTGATTTGATTTTGATCCAACGATAACAAAATTGATAATAAAATGTGGTAAGAAAAAATTGTAGTAAGTATAACCATCCCGTATTCTTATAATTATTTAAGTTTTATAAGATTTGATACAAATAATCAAAGTAATACATGGTGAGAATTTAACAATTAGATTGATACAAATCATATTTTATATAAGGGCTTTGGTTTCGTCCTGCGGCAGCAACAAATTTTGTTTCGTGCAACAAAAAACGACAAGTTAAATAATAATAAAGAATTGGATGAGACACTCTTTTCAATAAATAAAAAAATTGTCGTTGGTGTTGCATTACAGGAATCCTTTTCCTGTAACATTATTGTTATTTATCCCTTTATATAAATTATTAAATGGTATAAAAATATTAAATCTTATTTAGTTATAAACGAATCTCTCCTCTATACTAATATTCTAAGTGAGTTCAGGTAAAGTTCTTCCAAAATTCATTTAAAAAGCGGCATATGCCCTCCCTTATAAAAAAAAATAAAAATAAAAAAACACTCTGAAAGAACTCTTGAGAACAAAATCGTTATACAACTCGGCTACTATCGTTTAGCCTTATTATGCTCAGATGCCTTTGTAATATGGTTAGTTTTCTTCTTTAATTATTTACACAACTTAAAATGAAGAGTAAATACTCTTTTTGGTAGAATTTGTGTTGAAGGGATAGATTTTGAAAAAACTAAATGTTAAAAAATTAATTTATATTTCAGTAGTGACCTTTTAAAAGTGAGTTTGAAAAAGTTACTGCTATTTAGATGATGAGATTAAATAATTTATACGAGTGTTTTGAAAAATTTTAAACCTTGTATTTTAGAATCAATTCGATTCAAAATCAACTCTGCACTGGATAAAATTGATTTTGAGAACCTAAAATCTAAAACATACAGCACAACTTACAGTTCAAATTCATTTTCAAAGGTTCCCCCCCCTAATTCCGGATCTAACCAAAGACACACTCAATTCTATTCATAGGGATATAGTGAATCAATTAAAATTTTCAACCATAAGATATTTTGAGAATTAATTTATCCTCCGATTGCCCTAATTCCGGATCTAACCAAAGACACACTCAATTCTATTCATAGGGATATAGTGAATCAATTAAAATTTTCAACCATAAGATATTTTGAGAATTAATTTATCCTCCGATTGTAGAGTTATGACATGAGATTTATTACGAACTCTTTCTTCATGTGTTTACCATCCTTACTGCTTTCAATTCAAGCATCAGAGATGAGTGGCAAAGGAAAGACACGGCCACTCAGAGAGAGAGAGAGCAGTAGCTACTTTCACATATGCAAAGGGTAGTTAAAATGGTAAGCGTAATACAACATCAGGCAAAGAAAAGCTCACACTCCCATAACACCAAAACAATTCCTTCCTAGAAGCAGAATGGCTAAAACAACAAACACTAACAAACACCCTGCAAAGCTTTTTCACCCCCAACGTTGCAAATATAATTACTTTTCCTGTAGAGTTACCACATGACAAGTGTTATCTTTTAATTACTGCCAATAAAATCCTTGGCCAGGCTATTCATTTCAGTGGCTATGCATGCCTGTTCTCAGTGCTCAAACTGCTGCTACCTCCACCCACAGGACTTGGTTCCCCAACCCTGGCTGCCAAAGCAAGAACTTCAGGGGACATTTCCCAGCTTCCACTTTTTCTTCCCCAGCTAGATCTCCTGGGATGTATTCCGGCACGATCACCTATGTCATCTACTGTTGTCCTAATTTCTGGAGACAATTCACCAAACTCTCCATCCTTTATAGCTAAGCGTTCGTTTAATTGACCTTCAGAATGATCGATGCCAGTTCCCATGTCGCTCCACACTGTTTTCCTACCCATCTCTATGTCCTCAACAGCTTTTCCCATACTTGGGCTCATAAAGCCGCCTCCACCCACTGCTCGAGCAGGTAATGCTGGTTCCATTGGCACCTTTACCCTGAAATTGTTCTTTGATTGGGGAATGTTAGTGCAGAATATCTCTTTAAAATTATTGATCACTCCTTTGTTATATGGGTTGGCACGTCGATCATATCTGTATCTGAAGTTCTCATACGTAGTCTGCAAGAGCGATAGACACAAATATGTAGTTATAAACTCATTAGGATCGCTAGCTTATTTTTAAAGCATGTAATGATTTAAAAAGAACAGTAATCACCTGATTTGTACTTATCAGATATAAATGAAAGGCAGTAAGACCACCAACAAACCACATCGCTATGAAGGTGTAAATAATTAATATTATGGAGGCAGGTGTTTTGATCATTGCCTTCCAAATTGATGTCTCCTCTGACTCCATAATTCTTCTAATATAGACCCAACAAAATGCGAAAACATATATACAAAGTAGCGTAGTTGAGAAGACAAACATCAAGAAGAAGCGATAATTACGCTGCATAAAAATTGCGCAAACATTCAGATACACAACATATTCAAGAATGACATGTAGCAAATGATAACTGGAAAGTCATCAAACCAGAAAGAAGATGAACATCTTTTTATGAAGTCTGAATTCAATTCAACCTAAAATCTGAAATTTTCTCACGAAAGTAAAAAGACTTGCAGTATAACGTTGTCTTTTTTTTTTTTCCGGAAGCTACACATAAGCGGGTAGCATATCTCCTTTCAATAATTAATTAATCACGACGCCCCACCTCATCCCAACAAGATTGAACCTAAGATTTCCAAGTTGAAACTCAGAAAATTTTCCTTAAATCACTATACAGCATTTGTTAACCCATAAAATCATATTAAGCACAAACTATACAGGATATGTTTGAAAGGAAATTTTCCAAAAGAGAATTAGAATTAAGGACAATATATACCCATTAAGTCTCCATTTATGAGCTGGATTGTTCTTCAACTTCACATTATTATGCATTGCCAACTATAATAAACATGAAAGTAAAATCATATTTAACACAATTTACTGATGATGAATTTTTTATTTTACTCAAGCAGCCCAAACTAAATTATGGAAATAATAGTATTTATAATTAAAAAAATTCTAAAGCATGCTAGTTTTTCCAGCAGAGCCCATCTACAAAAATATGCAACATCTCAACAAGTTCTAAGCTAAAAAAAATACCCATCTCTTTCACTCTCACAACTGACAGAAACTACTCACCCAGAATACAACATTCTGCAGACCAGATTAACAATCAAAAATCAACTTCGGAAAACAAAAGGTACAACTTACCAGCCCAATGCACTGCCCAACCCAGGGGCAATGGTGATCAAACCGTTCTACACAATTATTACAAATTGAGCAGTGAGAGCACCGAGGAGGCCTGTAGAGCATGCAAGTATCACAATACTTCACCTTAACAGTAATTCCGTTGACCTCAACCTCCTTAATGCGAGGCAACCGCAATTGAGGAGTTTGACCAGCTGCAACATCTAGACTACCTTCAAAACCTTCTGGCTCGGGAGGATGTGCATTGCGTGGAATTATGCCAGGGTCTCGGCCAGATGTTAACAAGAGAAGAACTAGCACCTGGAAAGATTAAAGCATCAGCATAAGGTTGCAAAGAATATATATTAATGTTTATACAGAAAATGACCACTGCCATCCAAAAAATCAATGATAGTGAAGAAAACCTTTCCATTTTGGCAGCTAGTAATCCATGTTCCAAAAGAGTTTTCAAGAGGAAAATAAAAAGATACAAACAAAGATTCTATATTCCATACACTCCAGAGAATTCTATTTTTTTATATGTCCCTCCCAATGATACAAAGATAGTCCACCTAAAGTAACTCAACCTAATCGTAGCATCACACAAGTCATAGGACATGTTGATGGTTTATGAGCCTTAAGAAAATTCTCAATAGTAATTAAGCTCGTATATCTCAGCATCTTTAGTCTTCTAAGATCTCCCACCTTTGACACCCTAAACCACCGACAAATTGGCAAGACACTCACGCATATTGGGCTATTATGACATCATCAATCACTGTCCAAGTAAACTCAAGCTTTTGCCCTCATTATGGTCAGCCCCCTGTTAGGAACACCCTGTTTATGGCCAGCTTTCTGTTGGTTAGGCCTAGTTAGTCACGAGACAAAGGGTTAATAGGGGTAGTTAGGGAAATACCGACAGAATTAGTTAGTTATGGTCATTGAGAAAGAGTCTTTGTAATTTTCCACCTCACTTAATAGGAAACTCATATGTTCTCTGTAGGGATGTGCATGGGTCGAACCGAACCAGATTTTTTGAAAAACCGAACCGAATTGGTTTAAATGGTTCGGTTCGGAAGTGGTTTGGTTCGGTTCAAAACTGGTTCGGTTCGGTTGCAAACGGTTCAGTTCGGTTCAGAACCTGTTCGGGTCGACCCTCTTTTGAAAAGAAAAAAACTTAAAAATTAAAGTTATAAAAATCAATTTGGTTCGGTTCGGAAACGGTTCGGTTTGGTTCAAAATGATTTGGTTCTTAAACTGGTTCTAAAAACCGGTTCGGTTCATGAACTGGTTCTTTAAAAACCAGTTATTTTAAGAGCGGTTCGGTTCGGTTCAATTTTTTGGTTATTTTGGACACCTCTAGTTCTATGTTCTATGAGGGGAGGAATTCATCAATAAAGATTTAATCAAGATTCGTCTCATCCTCTGTATTTTCCCAATTCCCAATTCTCGTGCTAGTTTCTATTAACTAGGACCAAAGCTCTTCTAGGAGCTATAGGATTGAAATAAAGATGATTCCAAAATTCAAAAGAGAATCTTACTCGTGGCTGATCAACGTTAAGCAATATTTCAATGCAGAGGAAACATGCTGTGGAGAGGATTCTCGAAACCGCAAAGGTGTTGAGAGGTTGCTCTTTGATTTGGTAGCAATGCTGGAGTTGACTCAAACCAAATGTGATTTGGTGGAATTTCTTGAGCATTTCCTTCAAGGTGAGGAGCAAGGGATTATGTTTCGGGGATAATGAAGGAAGCAATGAGGAAATTGTTAGGAGGATAGGAGGAGCCAATGGTGGGAAGACCACTATCAATGGGCAAAGCAACAATCCACCACAATGTAGGAGTTGAGTTCATGGGTCCTTCCACTTATATGGCCCTCACATAATTCATTCCTAACCAATATGGGATTTCACCATTTCACAACATGGGCTTGGGGAGATTAACATATTCAAATTGAACCAACCACCATTTCCAAATATTCTGATGAATCAAAATGATGATGTGGATACAACGTATACTTGATTCCACGACAACATGGTTTTGATGATAACAAAGAGGAATGATTCAAAGACGAAGCAATATCCAAAAAGCAAATGTGAAAGCATGCACCAAGTCTCGAGCATCAATCCAAGTCCAGAATCTCAAATGGTATACTTATTTAGGACTTAGGATAAATGTGTAAAGATGTATAGATACAAAGCATTGCATGAGCTCAAGGTCATTCATCAATCATATATTTCAAAAGCATGCATCCTTAAAAGAAAAGTCAAGACAAATGGTTTCATATGTACAATATTGGTTTGGAAGAAGTACCTATGTGATACAAACTTTTCTAGATAATTTCCATAACCAATAACATGCATTACACGTCATAAAAATCATTTGGAAAGAGTAGAAACTCAGAACTCGTACAAAAAGGTTGTTGCTATGAAATATCCGGATATTCCACTTTGAATATCCGGATATCCAATGTGCGGATATAGAACCAAGAATATCCGGATATACAATATCCGGATATGTGCCCGACAAATATCCGGATATGTACAGATTACAACGGCTATAAACGACTAGAAACGACTAGTTTTCATAGGAGGTGTCATTATAAATACCCACATCAGCTGGGATGAACTGTACACGACCCTAGATCATTTATTGAAGCTTTATTACTCTTGCTAGCCTTTTATTGCTCATTAATTACTTACTTTAATCATTGCATACACTTGAGCTCATCTTTCCTTTGAAGTTATACATCTCTTAGTTCTTCAATTTGTTCAATCTGTACTTTGAGAGTACTTAGCCACTTCTAATCACCTCAATATTACTTCTTGATTTGAGAGGGGAGTGAACCCTATATTTGAGAGGTTACCAAATTCCTAAGAAAATTTGGAGTGAAAAAGTGTAAGGCATCAAGAGCCCGAAGTCTTGAAAAGTTGTAGTGGTTTGTTAAGCACCCTCAAGCTTGATAGTTAGTGAAAAGAATTGATCGAGCGGCTTCAGTCTGGACGTAGGTCACGATGGTGGTGACCGAACCAGAAAACATCTAGTTTGCAATTTCTCTAACCTTAATCTCTTTATTTAAGTATTAAAATTGCATCTTAGATTGTCTTTATATATTCGCTTGCTTACTTTGTTGATCACTACACTTGCTTTTACAATTAGACATTTCCTTATTAAATCATTTTATTGAAGAAGTAGTCTTAAAAAAATCAAAGGAGGTACTTTGCGAAAAGATTTTGTAAAACTAAATTCACCCCCCCCCCCCCTCCCCCTCTTGCGTATTGAAGCCACCTGTCCAACATATTCAACCCAACCAAAGACCAAATACAATTAAACAATAAAAAATGGGACATCACTCCTTGGGGAGATTATAATTTGTTTTAAAATCCCTCCCCAAGCCGTGCTTGCATTTTTCATTGCACACGGCTTTCCCTATGTATACATGGAAACCCGAGTGACTTACCCAGAATAAGACTCTAAGAAAGTGATCTGTAGCTGGGAAAAACTTCTAATGGGGCAAGGCTGCATCTGAAAGAAGGACTGACGGGGCCAAGCCAGGCATCATCTAGGACTGAGACCAACGAGGACAAGCAGCATCTATGATGATCCACCGGGGCTAGACAAAAATTGGGACAAATCCTTACAAGTCAAAGTTGTATCTAGGACAAAGACTGATAGAGTTACGCAGCAAAAGAAACGATTCGATAGGGCCAGACTAAAATTAAGACGATCCAATGGGGCCAAACAGCAACTAGGAGAAAGACTGATGAGACCAAGCTGTATCTAGGGAAAAGACTAACGAAACCGAGTAGCAACTGAAATAATCAAACAAGGCTTGAGCGAAACTTTCAAATTTTTCCCCCTCAATGCTATGCTGGCATTGGAAAAGAGACAAACAACGATACAAAATGCCCAAATCTGACAAGTGGATAGTGTGGGCATGCTAGACAGAAGGAGTGGTGGATCAAACGAACACAAAAGGATGGGTCAGCCATGGGTCAAACCAAAATGCGAAAACCGAGATAAAATGCATAATGAATAGTGAAAAATCGGAGAGCTCAAGGTAAACAAGCTACAAAGTAGACGAAACGAACAGGCTCCAAAGTCTAGTCAACGACGAAGTTGACAGAACGGAGCTCACACACGTTGCCACGTGCATCTGCATGCATGAGGGCTGGTTCAGAGGCTTCTAGACGTGTGTTCGATGGATGAGCTCGTCTCTTTAATGAGATTTAAATATACATATCATAGACCGAAAGTCTCGGCATAAAAAAATTTCGGTTGTCGGAGAAGACGATCAAGGACGCAAAGATTTGGCTACTATGAGCGCATTACTTGCTGGATGACAATGAGTCCATCGAGAATTTGCTGGACATGAGGACATCCGCCAGATCTTATGGTCACCGACCAAGGAAGTTGCTAGAAAATTTTCTAGGTAGCTAAAAAAGTCACAGGAATTTCTTAGTGATTGAAAAAATCGCGAACAGTGGTTAGAAAATGCAGGACTGCTTCCGGAATAGCAAGATGGCAGTGAGAAATAATTTATGATTAAGAAAACATTGTCGGAGAGATGACACGATAAAGAAACGGCAACCGATGTTTGCCTAAAATGCAATGGAAAAAACTATTGAGAAGGTGGACAAAAAAGGTAGTTAACTTATAGTTTCGAAATTCATGGAACTCAACGGTGGAAAAGTGACAAGACACATCACGGAGGATGGTACCACTCTAATACCATGTTGAAATTATAGGTTTTTAGGTATAGAAAAGAGATAGAGAGAAAAATATATATTGGATATTATTTGTGAAGAAAAGAAGAAGTGGAAGAAGTATTTTGTCTGAATAATACTTTCTTGATTCATTGAGAGACCCAATGGGTCCTTTTTATATTGAATACATCCAACTACCTCAACTACTTTAATAAATATACAACCACCAACTACATCAATAAATATACAACTACTAATTACATCAATAAATACTATCTAGAATATTCTACATATTCTACACTCCCCCCTCAAGTTGGGAGATATATATTGATCATTCCCAACTTGCTGATCAAATTCTCAAAGGTCGACTTAAGTAATCCTTTGGTGAGGATATATGTCGTATGTTCCTTGGTAGGTATATATGTCAAGCATACACTACCGTCTTCAATAAACAACATTAAGGTGTTTTTCCTTAGGAGAATGCATGAATGGCTAACCATGCTCACAGCAAAAGCAATATCAGAACGTGTGAGACAAATAGATTAATTTCCCCACTAGTCTCTAGTACTGCTCCCTATCAACATCTTCCCCGTCCTCAACTCCCATCTTGATATTAGC